AAGATTAAAGGTTGGGATTCAAGCATGATGGTGGAAGGTGCTGAAGCTAGGATTCTCGAGGTTCCAGGGTTCCCAAAACAACCCGACTGGGTGGGGTTTCATGATGTCGGCATTCACGACTCCCGATTCCACAACCCGAACAATGTCCACAGATCCAAAGTTGCAACTTCAAACTTCGGACCCTGATGTCAGGATTTTGATTCGGAGTCTCGCGCTCCTGCATGACAGACTTCAAGCGATAGGCGGCCCTCTGGATTTAGGCACCGTGCATTTGTTGGGATGCGGTGTTTCCGGCTGGAAACTTCAGGCTTTAGACTCCAGGCTGCTGAAAGTTAACGATAGGTGATTAGCACAGACTTGATGTCTAACGGCATTAGCTAGAATAATTGAATCAGGCTTTTCTTGTGATTCTCTCCCTGGACGGCACAACAAGGGTGCGACCGAAACTGTTGCCCGGGCTTCTGCAGACATGTTCACGTGGAAGCCCTGAAACGCCGACATAACCCCGCAAACCTCGAAGAATGTGTGGGATTCAGGGTTGCAGCTTTTGAAGTCTACGGATCTGCTTTTGCTCAGCCGTGCAACCACGAGCAATGAATATGAAAGCACTGTGAACACTGGTAGTACTAGTATACATAATGTCAGAATTACAAAGATGATCAAGCATGCACCCCCCCAAGGCTTTGAACAAGTCTGACGGAGGGAATCGGTCCTCCTCAAGCTCGAGGGCGTGCTCCGCGCGGTGCTGCTTGCGCCGCGGGACGTATCTCCACTTGCTCCTCGGGTGATGTTCCCCCAAACACGGTGGTACAAAGATATGGCTACTTACGGCTACTTTTCCACGCGCTGTCGTGCAAAGGGAGCATAGCTATTTTGTGTGGAGGAGCTGTGCGGCCGCATTTCCCGCCGAATTGGAATGATTGTATTTTCGAAATACACGGGCCTCTTTTTGGAATCGTAAATGTTAGATCGCGCCAGTAGTTGGAGGCACTTTTTGGTTCCTCAATCCTCCTGAACCCCGCCAGTATAATATTATATAGTATTGGGAGGAAGCGCAAGCACCGTGCTCCTGAATGCCACCACTTGAGGGAAAGCGTTTCGGCCGTGGTCTTGAACCCGCTACTATCATCCCTTTTGTATGGGACCCTTGTAGTTAGTATTATCTAGTAAATTACAAAGGGAGTATTTTGGCCAACTGCTATTAATTGCTCCGACGTCTACAATTACAACCAGCAACAAGTGCAAAGATTGCTGCTAAGCTAAACCAAATATCTGCTCGTTGGATACTTGGACCCTCACGGCCAAGTGGCCTACCTAGACTGTCGTGTCTGGTAAGGATAAATGGCTGGAGATCCGACCATTATCTGTCTCAAGGTCTTCTGATGGACCTCCCTAAACCCTATAAACCTCATATGTTCCTTCTGGGACCCTCAGAAAAGAGCTCTCAGCTACCCAGACAACTAGAGGGATGGAAAGTCCGAAAAAGTGTCCTGAGGGTTCCTCCGTACATAGCTATAAGATAACATACCCCAAAACCCTTTTTTCCTAGTGGCAAGGCTCCTTTCTTTCGTAGGTTCTTCTTAATACCAACCGACAGGCCACGCCCCGACACGTCGTAGTGAAGGCAAGGACAAACTTCGCCGTGATGGCATCAATCCTGAAGTGCCGACTTGAAGTGCGAGTCTTGCAGCTTCGGGGGTCTTTAAAGCTGAGCTTCGTTGCTGGACCTGGGGGCGGGAACGGGAAACTAAGGTTTACTATTAATTTGAGCCGATAAATACTACATGATACTGTTGATGGACAAAATTCTGCATGACCCAAACATAGTATAGTACCATAAATCCCATAGTTTGAGTATATAAGGTCTTGCAGGATTTTTTTCTCCATCAGCCGTAGCAACCCTAAACCCCAAACTTGCTAAAG